CTTGTAAGTAAAATAAATTATATAATTAGTCATAACAACTCGTATAAATAATAAACCCTAAATTAAACACATAATACACATAACAATGACAACTTGTACAAGACCTCTATTTTACCTCTTCTTTTCCTAAGTCAAGTACATAAATACATATATGCAAGTTATTTGACACTTGTTAAATTAAATATCAAATATAAGTATTTAAATAAGTACGAATCTTAAAAATTTATACCTAAAAATTTTTAAGTAAAATAACTAATATAGTTCATATCCAATCTATATCCGAAAATATGCACCCATACTTGCAACAAAAGAGTGCTACTTTTATTTTTTTATTTTTTTATTTTTTGCCCAAATGTAAATAGTGCTTCCACTCCGTCTCAATTTAATTGTCTTATAAACTCTTTGTCTATAATTTTAAATAATTTTTTTGGCATGATATACCAACAGTGAATGAAATTCTTTTTTAAAACAAAATTAGTTCAAAATATTAAAAAAAATTTAATTACAAGTCATATATTACATAAAAATATTACTTACAATGACCTATAAAAATTTTGCAAACAATTAATTTGAGGTGGAGGTAATACTAAATCGTAAAAGACAATAAAGAATTCCAGTCATGGCATTAACCACTGGGACTCGAGTGATCAAGAATGAAAGAGAAAATTAGACTGAAATAATTACTAATCACATAATTTCTACACTGAATCTTTGATGTAATTTCAGCGAAAAGTCTTTTTCCCATCTATGGGGCATGACCATATCTTGGGTTGTTGATTCGTAGTTGTAGTACTCTTTTAGGTATTTTTTTTTCAAATAATAGATATTTTTTAAAATTTATTTTTATATTAAAAATTTAAAGATAACTTATTGTTTTATCTATATTATTTTTAAAAAATAAATAAAAATAAGAAATTTTTTATAACAAAATCAATAATTAAAATCAAAGATAATATTAAGGTTAAAATAGGAAGAAATATTTGTCTTTTTTAATGAAAAATGATTTAAAAATAAATTTTTTTGTATCATTTTTTAATATAACTTTATATATCATTTAAATAATTAATTTTTTTAATTCATTTAAAACCTATGATATTAAGTGCATATATTCATTTAATGATATTTAAAAGTTATATAAAAAAGTTAGGTAAAAAAATTGTATCTATATTATTGTCTCTCCCTTAAAATGTATAAAAAAAATTAGTATTATTTTGAGACGAGAATACTATTTGTTTTAGTTTTTAATATTTTAAATATATGTAAAATCTGTTATGAAAAGTATTTCTCAGTTAAATTTTTAAAAAATTAAAAAAATTCAAAACTTACCTTATTTCACTAAATTTTTTTTAGAAGACTAACTTATTTTTAAAGTAAAGATGAAATGATATTAATCTTTTTCTTGTGGTGCCTTAACTAGACAATTAGTTTTAAAATAATGATAAATAAAAGTAAAATTTAAGTTATATAATTTAAAATGTTAATAAATAAATTTTATATTATTTAATAATTAATTTTTTTATTTTATTAAAATTTATACATAATATTATATGTATTAACTCATTTAATAACATAATTTATATCGTATTATTGATATCAAATTTTAGTTTTCAAAATTTTCTCTTAATTTTTTCAATGTCCAACTTATATATATTAATATTATATATTTTTTAATTTATATTTTTATATATTTCTGGATTTAACAAAAAGAGGCTAAAGTATTGTATTCACAAACAACGACGTAAGCCGCCAAACTAACCCATTTTCGCACATAAAGCCCTAAACTATTTTTTATCCTTACAAGCCCCTAAACTTAGGGATATAAGCAACCCTTGTTAACGGTTTCGACTTTCGATACCACTCGTTTAAAATCTGATCATAGCAGTAAAAGAAAATAGTTAAATAATAGTTTAGTCAATATACTTTTCAAATTTTAAATAAAATTAATCCATACACTTAAACAAACTTTACTAAAAAATTTGAGAAAGAAAAAAGTATCGATCGTATTAGCAGACATTCCAAAACCCCACCATAGTTTTCATCTTTCAAAAAATCCATTAAACATAATTTTCCAAATTTCTCCCCAACTCATCTCAAAAATCAAAATGAAAAATTAGAAAGGCAAGAGTGTCATGATATATATTTCAATATTCTTCTTTTCTTTAATGTGAGGAAGTACGATTTTATATTGATCTAATTGTGAGAGGAACACTACGTAAAACTGAAATGAAATCTATTTATGAATTAGGTAAGGACAAATTTTTAAATATTTTTTAAATAATTTAAGTTCTTAAAGATTTCATAACTAGGGGGCGAAATAAAAATTAGTTGAGCCTAGCTTCTTGCCTATATTTATAGATAATATGTGAATGAAACTCAATTGTAACTCTCAATAATTTTTATTTATTTATTTAATAATTAAATATGAAATCTCATTTATTAATATTTTGATTGGAAAAATGTAATCCCATGGATTACATTTCAAGAGCTACCATTAATTATATATATTTTGATCTCTAAATTTTTTAAAAAGAACTAATTGAATAACAAAAATTTATTTTACTACAACTTTTTTTTTTTTTCTGGTTGATTTTGAGATGCGTTGGAAATACGATGTTGAGCAGATTTATTGAGACTTGTGACGTGGAAGCCATGATGAGAATTGGTTTATATATATATATCATAAGATTATTTATTCTTTTTATTTCTTGTTTTAAATTTTTTAATAAATTTAGATAAAAATGAAGGAACTAATTTTTGTTAAATTTGAAAGTATGTGGACTAAACTATAATTTAACCATTTTCTTTGACCGCTCAGATTTTTTTAGGTTAAATGTCAATTTTGGTCCCTCAACTTTAAGATTTTGTATAATTTTTATCTTTGAACTTTTTTGAACTTTTTTTATCCATTAACTATGAAAAATGCACTTTTTTAATCATTCCGATAGTTAATCCGTTAAATTCATTTGAATTTACAAATTTTTAGTCCCTCAGCTTCTAATATATGCACATTTTTCATAAAGTTGAGGGACTAAAAATGTGTAGATTTAAATAGACTTAACGAATTAATTGACAAAAAAATTAAAAAAGTGCATTTTTTTTGTAGTTAAGGACAAAAAAAGTGTAAAAAAAAGTTGAGAGATGAAAATTGTGTAAAACCTTAAATCAAGGGACTAAATTAACATTTAACCATTTTTTACGGAAACTAACGGAACCGTTAGCAAAGGGTTTCCTTCTGGCATAAATAGAAGAAGGGCTTATGAGTCTAAAAATATAGTTTTGGGGCTCGTAAGATTTGCCACTATAAATTTATAATATCATTGTGCAACCAAAATTAAAAATTATCCATTCATCAAAAGAAATAAAAATAAAATCATCTGTTATCAAAGGAAAAAAAAAAAAAAATCTTCTAAACATCTGACCTTTCACAAAATATTGAATCCATAATCATGATGACCAAAAATTTCCTTGATTGGTAAAAAGAGAAGGGATTTTCATGAACTATAGGCATCTCCAAGAATTGAAAGCCATTTTTCAAACTTTTCCCATCTTCACGTTGCACAACAGTAGCACAAGACTTGTAAAAGCTGTATTATTATCATGGTGGGGCAAAAGGACAATGAAAGCACTAATTAAATTGACTTTAAAGCACCAAGGACCAAAAAGACATCCAACTCTTGGCAAACGCGCTCGAGTGATCATGATCGAAATGCAAAAATAGGCTACTTTTAATTACCTACTCGGATTCTTTATCTTTAGTGTAACTTCGAGGAAAGGTGTTTTATTTGCCTATCCATGGGACTATATATTAATGTACAACCAAAATTAAAAATCACATCTCATCTTCCATACAATATTGAAACCATCATTATGAGGGCAACTTTCTGTGCTATGCTTGTTCTAGTTGTTGTATTGTTCTTTGGAGCTGCAGAGTTTTGTTTTGGTCGAAACACGAGCTTTAGCTGTATAGAAAGGGAGAGAGAAGCCCTCTTAAAGTTCAAACTTTGTTTCCATGATCCATTGCATATGTTGTCTTCTTGGAAAGGCAATAACTATTGTGAATGGAAAGGAGTAGGCTGTGACAAAAATAGCAGATATGTTGTCACGCTTCAACTCAGGGGATCAATATCTTATCAACAGCCTCAATTGTACTTAATTGACAATGTAGATAAGGTTGTTTCAAGTTTGCTCAAGCTCAGATACTTGGAACACTTGGACTTGAGCGGAAATAATTTCAATGGTAATCTTATTCCACCCTCCTTTGGCTTGATGAAGCAGTTGAGGTACCTAAATCTCTCTGATGTGCAGTTCACAGGAAGAATTCCTGGTGAACTTGGAAATCTTACAAGAGTTCGTGTTCTTGATCTTTCTCAATATTATTATGGGAGATTGAAGGTTGATGATGACATTCAGTGGATTTCTCGTCTCTCCTCTTTGCAACAACTTGATATGAGTGGAGTAAATTTAAGCCATGCATCATTAAACTTGTTCCAGGTACTTGGCATGCTTTCTTCATTATCATGGTTGAGTCTGTCAGATTGCAGTCTAAAATATTCTCACCTACTATCTCGCAACCATCCCCTTAATTTTACATTTTTTGGAAATATTCAGCACTTTGATATTTCATTGAACTCTTTTAATGGTCCATTGCCTATTTTTCTCCAAAACATGACTTCATTGGCATTTCTTGATATGAGTGGAGTAAATCTAAACCTTGGATCGTCAAACTTGTTTCAAGTACTTGGCATGCTTCCTTCATTGTCATGGTTAAGTCTAGCAAACTGTAGTCTTGAAAATTCTCACTTACCATCTCACAGCCATCCCCTAAATTTTACATTTCTTGGCAATATTCAACACTTTGATCTTTCATTGAACTTTTTTCAAGGTCCAATATCTATATTTCTCCAAAACATGACTTCCTTGATTTTTCTTAGTCTTTTTAATAATCAATTGAGTGGGAGCATTCCAAATAGCATCGGACAACTTTCTAAATTGGAGAACATAGTGCTTTTTGGTAATCAATTGAGTGGGAGTATTCCAGATAGTATCAAGCAACTTTCCAAGTTAGAGAGTATAGATCTTTCTGAAAATCAATTGAGTGGGAGTATTCCAAGTAGCATCGGGCAACTTTCTAAGTTAAAGATCATAGCTTTTTCTAGCAATCAATTGAGTGGGAGTATTCCAAATAGCATTGGGCAACTTTCTAAGTTAGAGAGTATAGATCTTCATGGCAATCAATTGAGTGGGAGAATTCCAGATAGCATTGGGCAACTTTCTAAGTCAGAGAGCATATATCTTTCTAGCAATCAATTGAGCGGGAGTATTCCAGATAGCATCGGGCAGCTTTCTAAGTTAGAGAGCATAGATCTTTCTGGTAATCAATTGAGTGGGAGTATTCCAGATAGCATCGGACAACTTTCTAAGTTAGAAAGCATAGATCTTTTTGGCAATCAATTGACTGGGAGTATTCCAGATAGCATTGGGCAACTTTCTAAGTTAAAGAGCATAGATATTTCTGGCAATCAATTGAGTGGGATTATTCTAGACAGCATTGGGCAACTTTCTAAGTTAGAGAGCATACATCTTTCTAGCAATCCATTTGGAATAGGATTTCCTAAATGGCTTCTATTGCAAAAGACAATAATCACGATTGAACTCTCTAATGCTAGCATCTTAGGTCCTCTTCCAGAAAACATCAGTCATATGCTGCCAATGTTGCAAGGATTAAATCTTGCAAATAACCTCATGAATAGTTCAATTCCAAAGTCGCTATGCAATTCAAAATCTTTGATGTATCTTGATCTCTCAAACAATATGTTTTCCGGAAGTATTCCTAATTGTTGGGGAAATGATCAATTGTTCAATTCTATTGATCTATCTTCTAACAATCTCTCAGGTTTATTTCCGAGCACAATGGGGCGGCTTTCTTCTTTACTTGTACTACACTTGAACAACAATAATCTCCATGGGGAACTACATGTGGCCTTGCAAAACTTCACTTCTTTAGTGATTTTGGATTTGGGAGAAAATAAATTTTTTGGAAATTTAACAAGCATTGTAGGGGGCGAGATCAGCAACCACTCTTTAAAAATTCTCCGACTACGAAAAAATTTGGTTTCTGGTTATATTCCTTTGGAATTATGCTCTTTCTCTCAATTACAAATTTTGGATCTTGCAGATAATAATCTGATAGGAAGGATTCCTCCTTGTTTTGGAAAGTTTCCAATTATGGTGAATGCAACACAATTAAGCAATAGAATTGATCAGAGATATTGGTATTGGCCGCATTTGATGGTGGTTGTAAAAGGGAGATACATTGAGTATATACAAAAACCCCTAAGATTTGAAAGCAGTATAGATCTTTCGAGTAACAATCTAATAGAATCCATACCAGAGGAGCTAATTGTCCTTAAAGATTTGCACAATTTGAATTTGTCTTGGAATCATCTCTCAGGAAAGATCCCTGAAAAAATTGGACAAATGGAGAATTTGGAATCTCTCGATTTATCCCAGAATGGTCTCTCAGGAATGATCCCGAAGAGCATGTCAGGTTTAACCAAGTTAAGCCACCTCAACTTGTCCTACAACAACTTTTCAGGGCCAATTCCAACAGGCTATCAACTCCAAACACTCGAAGATCCAACCATTTACATTGGCAATCCTCAACTTTGTGGAGCACCACTCCTGAAGAAATGCTTAAATGATGCGTTGCCTCCGACAAGCTCCAACTTCAAGGATAACAATGAAGGTGCACTTACAAGAATGTGGTTTTACATTATCGTGATGTCAGGCTTTGCAACTGGATTCTGGGGAGTCGTGGGAACTTTGATTTTTGTGAAAAGCTGGAGATATGCTTATTTTCAATGGGTGGATGATGTCAAACATTGGATCCTTGTGGTTATTGCACTGATGGTGGAACAATTCAAGAAGATGTTTAATGGCAACCTAGATGATTAGTGAGTTATATATAGAGTATGTTGTTGCTATATTTGTTACTGAACCAATTGGACAACCCCACATTGTAGGGTGTGGTGTCTAGTCTAACTTTGAATGTGCCAACATTGAATGGGCCAATTTTAAATAAAGACATAAATATTAAGGTTTGTAAAGTTTTCAATAATGTAACATAGGCTTAGTTCTAAAGGTTTCACAAAAATAAAAATTCATAAGTTCAAATAGAAAATAGAGAATTTTATGCAAGGCTTTTAGATTGCATGGATTTCTATCTTTCTAGTTTAGTTAAAAAAAGTAGAGAGAGAGAGAGAGAGAGAGAGAGAGAGAGAGAGATATATATGAAAGAATGAGATAGGAAGAATAGCTTTGCTGAGTATACAATAATAGCAAAATAAAATCCTCACATATTCATAGGCAAAGTTTGGAACTTTAAATCTCACACAATCAAATTTCTATAATGCATCTCTTACATGAAATTCCCAGGTCTTCAATATTTCCTAAGACACATTTTCACATTGCATAAGGCATATCAACCACAGCCTCATAAAACATTGTCAAGGCTAAATAGTGAAGTCCGTTATATTTGTTCAACCTTAAAGAGCTTACTGATTTCCTATAATAGAAAATGAAACACAACTAATCATTTGTTGTTTTTAATTTCAGGGTATTTTGCTCTTATAGTCACCAAACTTAAACATAACTTTCATTTTAATCACTCGTCCTTCAGATTTGTAAATTTAGTCACCAAACTTAGTTTTAAAGCGAAACCGTTGGTCATTAACCATTAATGCCCTTATTCCGTTAAGTTTTTCTATGGTGTGGCACCATGTAGACTCCAAATGGTCTAAGAGAATTACTTTTCAAACAATAAACTTTAAATGCTTTATAATTAAGTCTAAAATTGAGTCCATCAATAACTAAATTTAGTGAAATGAGCCATAATATGTGTTAGAATACAATTTTTTTTGGTATGTGTTAAAATACATTTATAAAATCAGTTTATTAAGATACCATTGTAACTATTTAATCAAAGATTAGAACCTTAATTTCGTTACTTTTGTTTAAATTTGAATGGTTATGGTGTCTTTCAAGGCTGTTTGTATGCAACTAGAGACTAATCAAACTTTAAAACCTTAGTTTCATCATTAAAATTATGTGGAATCCACTATCCATTTCCAAGTAAAAGAAAATTTATCAGTCATTTGCAATGCATTTAATGGTTATCAAGCAATATTATAATTATTTAACTTTTTGTGATCAAATTATGAATAACATATTCACACAATTATAATTAATTAAATGCTATATTATATTGCAATGTGATGTGTCATTATATTACTTGTGTTTAAAATAACTACTTGTGTGTTTTTTTTTTTTTTTAAATAGCTGAAATAATTGCTTGTGTAATTATATCGTGTTGCATTTTAAGCTTATAACATGATGTGTCATTATATTTAGCCTTTTTAACTTAGAGGTCCACTTGAGATATTGTATATTTTCACTTATTTAATTACATATTATACTTATTTAATGCCACATCATAATTGTAAATTTACGATTTTACATGACGTTGTAACCTTAGTATTGTCGTTAGTTTTTTTTAATTAACTAAGGTTTATGTACCATTTTGGTCCCTCAACTTTTCACTTTGGCACCAAAATTGTCCCTCAGCATTAAAAAGTACTAAAATTATCCTTGAACTTTCATTTTTGGTACCAAAATGGTCCTTCCGTCAATTAAATGCTAGGTGGCTCGTTAAGATGCCACAAAATCACTGGCTTTTTTGATTTTTAATGACGTGTGAATCCAGCAAAGACATTTTTGACACCTTGGCATTTTTACACGTCAGATTGCTTCCCCACTTTTCAGATTCACTTTTTGTGGGGCCCACATGAGATTTATATTATATTGTTTTTTCCCTCAGTTTCAATTGGGTTCCCCACCCACAGCTAACTCTCTCTCTTTCTTCCATGACCTGTGAAACCCTAGAATCCTTTTTCTTCTTCTTTCTTTGCCAAACATAATCCCCAACAAGATTTATGGAGGCTAGTTCTTCTTCATGAAGTGTGGGTTTTTCTTCATGAAGTGTGGATTCGATCGGATCTGGACAGTTTAGGTGCGAGTGTGGGTTACCTGTTGCTGTCGAAACTGCATTCACTTACCAAAATATGGGAATGAGGTTTCGTTGTTGTCTAAAGATAACGGTAAGATAAAAAGCAGATTTCTGGGTTTTTGTTCATAGTTTTAAGTTTATTTAAGGTTTGATTTAACAGTTGATTGTATTAGGGTCAATGCCCATATTTCCATTTCTTACCTAGTGAGGAAAGAATCGAGGGAAGAGCTAGGGATTTACTACTGATATATAAATATAGGGAATCCAGAAATCTGAAGGAGAAAGAAAGAATCGAGAAAGAGAATGGTGAGCTGAAGTTGGAAAAGGGAAACTTGATGCAGGAAAAGGAAGATTTGATGAAGGAAAATGCCAAATTGTTGCAGGAAAATGAACTCATGAAGACACAAAGTAGATTAATGGATAGAAAGATAAGGATGCTGGAGAAGAAAGTGAAGAAGGTAGAGATGAGAAGCTCTCAAGCAGCCATAATTAGTCAATTTGTCTGCTTGGTGTTTTTTATTGTTATGGCAGTGATTGTTAGGTTGTTTGTACTTAGGAAGTGAATGAGATGTAGAATGTTGTATGTACTGAAACCAGATGGTAATGGTAATGATATCTTGTGAATTTCATCTCATCTCCAAAAGTGTTATTTTCCAAAAATGTGATGAAATGTGGTTGCTGCAATGTGTATGGGAAATTTAATGCATATTTTCCAAATGTTGGGTAGTAAGTGCATAAAACCAAACATGCAAGATACACATAAATTACCAAAAAAACAAAGATTAGATACACATAGTACAAAGTATCAGGCAATGCTTACATACAAAAAATCTCTCATTTTTAGTGTCAAGTATCAAGCATACACCAAAAACTAGCTTGCCAATCAATTGTCTCATATTTGCCAAACACAAGCCAAACACAAGCACAAAGCAAAATATACTACCAACTGTCTAGTATTAAACAAACATACTGCAACAACTTCCTTTTTTATTGGTTTGACCTATTACCAACACTTTTTGCCCTATGTCTTGGTGGTTCTTTTGCAGTTGTCTTCACTCTTTTTTTAGGTTGCTGCGGAGTTTCTACAGTGGCATGTGGTGTAGCTGCAGGGGGATTCGCAGTTGCTGATTCTGAACTCCTTTGCCCCTAATAAATTTTACATAAATTATCAATCTGATCTTAGATAAATTAAGGTGTGCATTAACTATATTTTTTAGGGACTAACCTTCTTGTTTTGCCTTTTTGCAGGTCTCTAAACTCTATTTTTTGGTTGCTAGACAGTTGCTGGATTGGTATTCTCTTCATTCTGATTCTGCACAGACATTGGATCATTGACAGGCGTTGGGTTCACCACTTGACTCAAAGGAATTTGAGAATCCTGAAAAAAAAAATGGTGCATGGTTTATTACACAATAGTCCAACAGTTTGTACAAGCATATTCTTAAACAATAAAAAAAAAGAAATTGCAAAAAGTTACATCATTTTCAGTGACTATTGTGGGATGTTGGGAATCTTCAATAGGAACTTGCTCTTCACTTGCATTGGCATTTTTAGGTTGAGGGGCCTACAACAAGTTAAAATATATCTCAATTAAACCTCCTGTCATGTACACTGTAAATTAAAATTAAAACTTACAGTGGTGGGTCCTTGTGCTTTGCATTTTCTTGAATTGTGTCCTTTTTGGAAACACTTTTGACAGGTCATTTGTCTCCCTTTTCGACTCATGTTAGTGTGGCCTTCCCATTCTTCCAAAACCCTCTTCCCTTTTGGCCTTCCTGGCATTTTCCTGGCTGGTGGGGGTTGAACATGTGGCATGCCAGTTTTCTCCCATGGATTCATCCCTTCAGTTACAAGTACAGCATACTCATAAGCAGCTTTAAACTTCTCCTTTCTATACTAATATGATACATAATCTTCTGCTTTTTCCTTCCTAGCGTTAATAGCTACCATGGCATGCCTACAAGGGATTCCAATGAGATCCCATTCCCTGCATGTGCACTTTCTTTCATCCACATTAACCATGTATA